AGAAGATGAGGGAAAACCTGCCAATTGTAATTGTCATGGGTCATATTGCTGGTCTTTCATGAGTGACATGTTGCGACTCTGTGATTATACATGCTGAGCTTTGACTTGCAAATGGGTAGGTTCTACGGTCTTGGCTTGGCCTCTCAAGGCTGGATTATACAAGACTTCAGAACCTGATCTATATATTGCCGATGCAAGTACCAGGCAGCCTCGGGCTCAGGCGTCTATCTAGCTCTCGTATGTAAGGACTCCTCGTCTCCGCCAACATGGAAGATGAAAGCAAGTTGATTTGACCGATCTGACTGATCTGGTTCAGTTTGTCCGGGTGATTGATGTCCACATGTCAATGGGCAGACCAGGTGTTGCATGTTGCTAGGACAGTTGAGGAACTTCTGGCAGAAGAGCTTCTTGAATATCCTATTCGGATTAGCAATCTGGGTCTCAGGTTATTAGTTCTCGGTGAATTATTCGGCCGGTAATATGCCGAGGCAGGGACGGGATGAGGACCGGTGATGAGATTAATGAGAATGGGTTGTTCCGGCTTAGGGCGATAAGCTTGGTGCTTGGGCATCCTGCTCAACTAAAGCCACACGTTCTTATTGCGTCCGAAAGACTGGAAGATTGAATTTGGATGTGCTGTGTTCAACCACGGAAGCCTGCGCTTCTCGGTGCCTTTATACGGAGCAAGTGGCCGGCGGGTGGCCTCAGGCTGGATGCTTGCTTTCTGGGTGGCTTGATGTTGGGTTTGGGTTTAGGCTTTGGGTTGGGAAGAATGAGATATGGAATTCATTGGGTGTTGATGTGATCTGGGCTGCTTACTTCGTTGTGACAACTCGGCATTACCACATCTACCTTACTGGCCATAGAAGAGAGTCACTCCGGGGCAGTCAACGTGGGTACCAATTTGCTATGGAAGAGGCCGATAGTCTAGGCGAAAGACAAATAACCTCTTATGTCACAACAGAATGTCGTCGAATCGCGCTCAGATGTGCGTCCAACGAGGCCGAGGCGGATACCAGGCTGGTGACGGGATCTTCAGAATCTCGGTATCTGGGCTGTTTTGGCAGCCTCACAGGACACATCGGATAGCTACAGACAATAGTTACGATCCTGCAGGCTGGCTCCAGACGCAAGCGAGCACCTGCGCGGCTTCGAGATCTTCACGACGAGTGTGGAACAGAGTTGCGGTGCATCAATGAAGCTGAAGGCGAACCATCACTGGCAAGGAATTGCCTGAATTCGCCCACCTATTTGCCTGATCTGCCTTACCTGCCGTGCCTGCCTAACTGCCTGGTTACTTTGTGGAAGTTATAGACGGACGGGACACGGCATGCATTGCGCGTGGCTCCTGCCGACTTCTCCATTTTTGGGCGGGGGAAAGCGCGCCTGCCGTACCTGCCCCGCGCGGACGGGAAGGCTGTTTAAATCACGTGTACCTTGAATCTGTTGGGCAGGGCCTCTCACACCTGCAGCGTACTTCCACTTTGTTTCTTGTTACCCAAATGAGAAACCTAAAACAATCGCAGCCTGCAGCTGATGCCTATAGCCTGCAGACACCTCAGGCAGGCTCTCCTTCGACGATGCATTCCCCGCGCAAATGCGCTCGTGAGTCGTGATGATGGCCTCACTGATACGAACATGATGAGGCAGCCAGATCCATTCGCAACCCGAGACAGCACCGAACAAGAATCTGTGCCACAACAAGCCCACCTTCAATGCATCGCAAGGAAAGCCTGATGCTGTGTTTGGGGCTACAGCTGCATCTGCTGGTCCAATTGCATCACCTCAATGTGCCGTGGCTACATGACGATGCGGTACAATCAGAAATGGCCTCCTGATAGCGACTTCTATCGAGCCACTGATTCTAGAACACCTTGCATCTCAAACCTCCAAGGGCAAGAAATAGACTGTAGCACCATCGCTTGATGCGGCTCATTGGACACTCGTTTTGAACAGCCAACGGGAATCTCGAAGCTTGCAGCTTGCCCAGCCCAATGACACAAAATGAGGCTTGCAACTAGAATGCAGTGCTGACAGGAGATAAATACCCCGCTCTTCATCATGCTTCAAGTGCAAGAAAGGAGCCGATATCCTGTTGGCACCGTCCTCTCTCAGTCCTCCCTTTGCTTTCGTGACCATCTCAGTAGCTGGCATTCTGCACAAGATGGCTGCCTCTTTCGTTGACTTGGCTGGCATCGCCAAATTGGGTGTACAGCTTGCTACGAAGCTCGCAATCTATCAACTCGGCACCTCTGGATCAGATAGCGATATCCACAGTCTCAGTGACGATGTCCTTGCTACAGCGGCAGCACTAAGCCAGCTGCGGGAATTTCTCGCCGCTGATGCACTTGAGGTATCACCCGTCTACCGGTACGATGGTCGGGAAGCCATCGAAGATCTTGCAACGAGATGTGGAAAGGTGTATACCACCATTATCCGCAGCGTTTATAGAGCAAGTCTTGCTGTCAAAGTCGTCAAAGATGTGGACTTTGAGTCCCTTAGCACGGAGGACCTGAAGGCATCCAGGCTGCATGCAATCAGCGACAACATGGACTGGGATATGGTCGAGGAAGCCATTGAGACGAGTGAGGTCCAACTGCGCTGGCTCAAAGCAAGTCTGCTCCTCCACATTCAAGTAGCTGGTATTGCTGGCCTTCAGATCAAGTAAGTGCACCTTATGCCGTGACGATGAACGATTTAGCTAACCACTCCTCAGACCGAGATATCCTGGAAGCTTTGACGAGGAATTGGCCTCAAGGAGTCTGGCAATGCGTTTGTTGACATGCAAGGGCAAAGCCGCCAAGGAACTTGTCGAGATTGCTGAGAGAAAGGAACGTCTGGCGCTTGCAGACAAGCCTGACACTGAGAGCGTTTACGAATCTTCAGCAGCATCATCAGTCTGCGGCAGCGGCGTTGAAGATGACGCAGAATCCTGGAAGTCTGGCGAGACAGCTAATGACTCTAGGGCGCCATCCCCTTGTGGTGATAAGACGGAGGAGAATGCCAAGGTCACGCCCGTCGTTGAGATTGATATATCTCCTCCTCCGCCACCGCCGATGGCTGCCCCGACAAGCTTCTGGCACCAGCCATGGGACGGGGGCCCTGACGCAGGCCCGGTTGAAATCAAGCTCTTGGCACCAAAGCGTCGATTCCCAGCCAAGGTCTTCAAGTCTGTTGGCAAATGGTTCAAGCGTATTTTCAGCCGCAACACCATGCCACCCATCATCGACCTAGATCTCGAGGCGACGGTCCTGAGAAATGGACCATTCCCAGAGTCCTTCTTGGCATTGGAGCCCAAGATGCTCCGTCTCGAGCTGAAGCGCATCCTGAAGCAAAGCTCCAAGACCCCTGGCGACGCGTTCCTGATCCAGGACGACCAACTTCGTTCTGCCGTTCAGGGTGCTCTCTTCCGTGCCCAGAGAAAGGATGGCCGCACCAGGCAGCTTATCACTGTAGATGTTACCACCCGACCAGATGTCGCGGTTGTGTACATGTCGGTCGATCCGGCGGCAGAACCCGTTCACATGACTGATGTTCTGGGTCGAAAGTACGATATTCCATTTGAGCAGTGCCGCACCGTTCAAGTAAGACCCCCCCCCTTTTAGTACTCCATGAATCTTCAACTAACCGGCGTCTACAGGGTGCGCGTGTATCAATCCACCAGCGCTTCAAAGACGTCAACAGGCTCTGGAACCTCGTAAGAGACGGAGCATATGAGATCGTCGACGAGAACGACACTGTCATCACGCCAGAGGCATGGCAAACAACCATCAAGCCCGGCGCCGTTCTCCACATGCGCATCTCGGCCTTCAACGACGGCATGAATGGAGGCGTCTTCGTACCACCCGGCGCGCCGGACCCGCTCACGTGGGCCGAGCCTTACACGCCGCCGCCCATGCCACCAGGCTGCTGGAGGGGACCCCCCATGCCTCGGGGGATGCGCCCGCCGGGATTCTGCCGTCCTGGAGGCCCGGGGCCGAAGGGATGCATGCCTCCTCCACCACCGCCTACTTTTCCGCGCGTTATGCCGCACGTGATCACAGTTGAGCCTAGAGAGCGTGCGGAGCTTGGCTTCGAGCCCGACTTTGGGCCGAACCTGACGCGAGAGGAAGACCTGGGCGAGGGGCGGAAAGACCTCGGTCGGTGGGTTGCTTTGTGGACTAATGCTACGGATACGGATTTCACCTCTGACTCGGGCGGTATCCCGTCTTATGATGATGCTTCTTCCATTATGTCTGGGTCGTCCTCGTCCTCGGATGAGATTGTGGATGATTGAATCATCTTAACGTTTGTTCCTCCTCGTTAGCAACGTGGCTCTGAGGTTTTAGCCTTTCACTTTGCTGATCTGTTGGGTGTCACTCTTTTCGCCCTCAGTACCTATACGTTTATGATGTTGTCACGATTATGAGTAGGCAGGTTGGACTTGGGCTTGAACGCCTCCGTTCCTCAATTGCGTTTCGTTCGAATATGTCAATGTTGTATCCGTATGGCCAGATATCGTTATTTAATTTCTCTAATACATGACAAGTCATACTTTGTTTATGCCACTTCGGAATACTTCTCAGAGAACTCGAGCGTTGAAGCGACTCAAGGAAGCTCTGTGATACGGATCACCTCCTCTTGGCGCCCTGCCTTCATGCACGCAGAACACAAACCCAAGAAGCTGTAGTGTGGCTATGTGGCAAGGCGTTTTTCAAGCTAAAGCAAGGGTCTCACTGGTTATCTTCCACCCCATGCAGGTTGATGTGTCGCACTTGCACCCACGTCAGCATGTCTTCCAACGGTGGTTCGCCAGAAAGCCACAGCAGGCAAACTCTCGCAGGTTGAGCAGCCGCAGCAGGGCTGACTGGCTTGATTGGTTCTTGATCCTTCCTTCGCACAGTCAAATCATTATGTTCCAGATTTCCTCCCAAGGCCCTCGAAGCCTCTGAAGTTCTTCCTCTACCACCCAGATTCAACACACCGGCAACGCATACGGCTTATTCTCACCTTCGTCACCCATGGCGGATCCCTTGTCGACAGCAGGCAGTGTTGTTGGGATCATTTCCCTCGGGATTCAGGTCGTGCAGTCAATCTACCAGTACTACAGTGCCGCGAAAGACCAGCACTCCGACATTGCTCGCACCCTGCGGAAACTCGAAGATCTACAATCCTTGTTCGAAAGATTGAACACCCATCTCAGCGATCGAAAATTTCGATCCAGTGAGGCGGCTTTGCTTCAAAACATTGAGTCCACGATCCAACACTGCGAGGAGTCCATCGACGAGTTGGAACAAGAAGCGAGGAAGTTTGAGAAGAAACCGACCGACGGTGCTCGAGCTGCAATTAAAGGTGTCGTTCGTCGCTTGGCATACCCGTTTAGAGAAAGCACTCTCCTGAAGCTGCACGAAGACATTGACTATCTCATCAGTCAACTGTCTCTAGCCTTATCGCTACTGCAGCAGCAGACCATCGATCTCGTACAAGATGAAATCGAGAATACCAATGCCATACTCAACTTAATCCGAACCTCACAAGTCTCCTCCGAGATCCGAACTTGGCTCAATGCTCCTGACGCGACCTTCAACTTTACTGAAGCATGTTCGAAGAAACACCCAGGAACTGGTGCTTGGTTCGTCAACGGGCCTGAATTCACTCGCTGGTTGGAGGGGTCAAACTCGTTTCTTTGGCTGAAGGGCTTTGCCGGCTGCGGAAAGACTGTTCTGAGTTCGACGGTCATACAGCACACCCTCCGTCACCGTAGATCAAACCCCTCCATCGGGCTCTGTTTCTTCTTCTTTTCATTTAATCATGAATCCAAACAGGATGCATCAGCTATGCTCCGAGCGCTCATTTTGCAGCTATCTGACCAACTTGACTATGTTCCATGCGCACTGCAAAGAATACACGATTTGAGGAAGAAACACAACATTCCACCGTCCACGGCAGATCTACTTCAATGTTTCCGTCAGGTCTTACGGCTTTTCCAAAACGTCTACGTTGTTTTGGATGCACTAGACGAGAGCCCTCGGGAAACTAGTCGATTCGGTCTCTTGGAAACATTGAAAGAGATTCGGGATTGGTCAGAGCTGGGAGTACATCTTTTGGTGACCAGCCGAGATGAAGTAGATATTCGCGAAGGAATAGATATCGAAGATCAAGCGACCATCTTGATGAAGCACCAAGGGATAGATGATGATATTGCGAGCTATGTCTCGCAATTTCTCCGACAGCGTCTTAAGCGTTTGAACGAGCACCATTCCCTGATTGAAAAGGTCTTGACCGAGAAGGCACATGGCGTGTGAGTAGACGCATCTCAATCTGAGACTATTAATACTGACGACTGTAAGTTTTCGTTGGGTTGAATGTCAGTTCAAAGCACTCGCGACGTGTCCAAGGAGCAAGCAGGCTCTCGATCGACGACTTCAATCATTACCTCCAACGTTGGATGAGACCTACAAAAGAATGCTGGAGAATGTTCCCGACAAAGACTACGCCAAGCAGATGCTCACGATTCTCTGTTGCGCATCAAAACCATTGACTGTGCAGGAGCTAATCAACGCTTTGGCAATCGAAATCGGTGCCACGTCCTTCTTGAACCCAGATCGGCAATTGCCAGATGCAGACTCTCTTCTCGAAATCTGCCCGGGTTTCACAGAAGTAGCCATAGAACCTTACACGAGACTGGCTGTCATTCGAATTGCCCACTTCTCTGTACAGGAATATCTCGAGTCTGATCGAATTCTCCTACCGCAAGGATATGCTTCTTTCAGTATACACGAGCGCTGTGGAAATCTGCTGATGGCGTCAATGTGTCTCACTTTGCTGCTAGAATCTGAATTACAGATGTTCGGACGTGTAGAGACTGTGGAAAAGTATCCTTTTGCGGAATATGCTGCCAAGGAGTGGGTGAACCACTGGAGGAAGGGCATTGGGATTTGCGCCGCATTATACGATAACCACAGCCACTGCAACCTTGAAGTATCCCACGATAGCCTCGCTCTACGGCTTCAAGATCAGATGCTACTACTTTTCAGAGACAAGAAAGGGGCAATGAAGAATTGGTATAAACTATGGCACCTCGATTCTCACGGGGCTGGAGAAGGCGATGAGATGCCACCTCCACTTTACTATGCATCCCTTGTCGGTGCTCTATTTCTGGTAGAGAACCTCCTCGAAGACTTGGAAAGACAACGTCACCTTCAAGATTCAACATGTACATGTAGTCATCCTTGGGAGGAGAGAAGCGGTCGCTGTGGTGAACCCATACAAGCAGCGATAGCTTTGGGTCATCGAAATGTGGTGGAATTCTTCCTTGATAAAGGAGCAGACCCCAACATAATGGTGGAGCAAACACGTACTACATATGGCACACCTCTAATGACAGCTTCAGCTCATGGCCAGACAGAAGTCATCAAGTTACTGCTCGAGCGCGGCGCGGAGGTCAACGCAGTTTGGTGCATGCCACCCCTTGATCGCGGACGACGGCATTCTGACTTTACTAATGAATTTCCAACTGCATTAGTAGCGGCATCATACAGGAATGAAAATGAAGCTATCAGATTACTGCTGAAACATGGGGCGGTTGATGATGTTCCCTCCGGCTGTTCCATCTTGTACAGGTCTGCTTTGATGGCAGCGGGGGGCGAAGCTACTAGCATCCTTCTGAAAGCTTTTGACGGCACCAAGGTCACTACAAGTCCTGAGATGTTCGAGCTTTATATGGAAACAGCGGTAAAATTTGGGAATATAGACGCTGCCCAGAAGTACTTGGACGAATGGATCTTGTGCGGAAGACCTGGCTTTTCTCCCGGGAAATCACTTAAAGCAGCGTCAGCCAGTGGACATCACAGCATCGCTCAGCAACTCCTCTGTTCGGGAGCTGAGATGGCCGGCTCTGCTCGAGTCCGCCAGATATCATTGCTCAGAGACACGATAGGACCGGCGCTCCAAGAGGCATCCGGACATGGACACCTTGAAGTCGTCGAACTTCTCCTAGAATTTGGAACCGATAAAGGGATTCCCTTATGTGGCATAGACTTGAGGTATGCACTGCAGAGAGCAGCAGCCGGAGGACACGAAGAGATAGCGCGGCCGCTTCTTGACATCGGCGCTGACCCCAACACCCTGGATGGGACTCAAATGCCAGCACTGTATGCAGCGTCATTGGTCGGAAGCAAGGAGATTGTTCAGCTTCTTGTAGACGCAGGTGCGGACATTCACGGCCGATTTCGGGGGTGTGTGTTCGAATCTGTGTTGTCTGCAGCGTGTAATGGCGGCAACATGGGAGTAGTGGAGATGTTGATGGCTCGAGGCGCGTCTTTCCTGAATAGAAAGGCTGTGTCTATAAAAGTACGGAGTGGAATGGAGGGGTTTGCGGATGATCGTTGGGATCTTTGGGACCAGATAGTTTCCAACTCCCACGAGTTTGAAGCTCGGAATCTGCTCTTACTTGTGAAGCAAGGAGACATCCAAAAATTGGAAATCTGGCTTAAGAAAGAGGATTTGGACGTCTCCCTGGACCCTCTCTCCTCGGCTTCGATTGGAGGCCACATGGACATTGTTCAGAAATTTCTCGGAAGTTTGACCGTGGGAAATGTCAAAAACCGAGTTCCGAGATTACGGACCGCACTTTCAGCGGCAGTGGTAGGCAAGCACATTGAGGTTGTCAAGTCAATCCTCGGCTTCGATAGCAGAATATCCTTGCGAGAACTCGATCTGAGAAGAGCAAGATACTTGGCGTTACTGGTGGGAAACCCTATATTTGCATATCTTTGGCCTGAGATGGACTACCATGAAATTGTACAGGTTTTGGCGGAAAGACTTGATGGCTCGTTTCAAGATGACGATCTTGAACTGAGTCAGCTCTTCGCACAAGACGACGGCTAATAGGTTCCTTGGTCCTTCGATAGTCATCGTGTGGGAACGATAGAGGTGGTTGTGTTGGTACTGATGAATGTTGAGACGGGAAAAGATTGGGGCACAGAATCTACATATGTCCTCTTTATTTCACCTTCCTACTTCTATCGTGTTTTCCAGAATGTTTCAACGTCATCCGCCGGACATCATGCCGTTAATAGGTGGGCTATAGCCTGCGAAAGAACATATATGAACTACTTTAGCACAAGAGCCGACTGATCTAGAGGGGGAAACTTGTGAAATCGAGCCGGAACCAGCGCTTCCGAATGCCTTCACCACAGCCCACATATTCCACCTTCACTTCTTGAACACCGTCTCTTCCAACCTTCGGCCATCATCAAGCACCACAGCCTCAGACCCAACCATAACAAACAAAACCCTTGTAAACCCATCCGAAGCATTAACCCACTCGTGATTCACCCCTCCCTGCACAATAACCTCCCCCGCCCTAACAACCTTCTCTTCCCCGCCATCCAGCCTAAGCACAATCTCTCCAGCCAGCACGCACGCATAGTCAACACTGAGAGTCCGGTGCATAGGCGCCTTATACCGCGGCGGGAAATCCGTGAGACAAAAGTACGTCCCTGCCGCTGGTGCGCGCGGGAGAGATGTTGATAAAGTTTGCAGAGGTGTGTTGGGTGCGTTGGAGGCTGGGAGGGACGGGGTTGTGTGGAAGGAGGTGAAGCTGCTCGCTTGGGGGCCGAAGGGGTGGAATGGCGGGAGGACGGCGTCGGATGTGAAGATTGAGGTGCCGTCGTTGGTGTGACCTGTTGTTATGAGGCGGACTGGGGGTAGAGGGGTTGCTTGTGGTGCGGTGTTGGGGTTTGTTTGGTCTGACATCTTTGTTGTGAGTCTGGTGATGACTGATGGAAATGCTTGATGATCTTCTTGAGTGAGGTTCGGATGTTGCGTGGGAGAAGCGTCTTGTGATGATGTACGGATGTCGTTGATTGTTGTTCGGAGCCTAGTCTTGGCGAGACCTGCACTTTTTATATCTCACACTCAACCCATCATAACCTCAATAAACATCCACATAATCACCTAACTTCAAGCTTCGTGCTCGCATTCATAAACATGCCCCGCTCATGAGATGCGACGCCATCGCGTTAGCGGCGGATAACGGCCCAGGAAACATAAGCGCTAGCGAATAAGGCAGGAAATCAAGCTTCGATCAACACCTGCAAAGACATTGACCAAGCCAACTACAGCAGTCAAGCTAACTGCTTGTGGCATCTTGCTTTGAAACCTCGTGCAATTGATGGTAGCATTGACAGGAAGCGCGCGGCTTCTCGGGACGCGAGGTTCAGCGCGAGACCCTTGAGCTTGGTGTTTGGTGGTGATCGTGGGGGAATTGCTTGGGTAAGCGGGCGTATGCTTACATATGGATGTCGGCGACTCATAAGATGGAATTGGTTATCACGTGAAAAATCGCGACTCGGCTTCGAGTGGTGTCTTATCGCCGTTGCGGTGCATGCATGAACACACGCCTTGCGGGGATTCGGAGCGTTTCAATGCGAATTGGTGATATCAGGCACAAGTTACGATGTCGGAAAACGAGGGTACCGTCCCGGAAGAAGTCCCAATTCGGAGAACAGCTCTGCAGACGTCCATATGCTTCTTGTAGAAGGGACTACAGCTCTCGCAGGGTCACCCATCTGATTAGCAGACCACAGACATATCTCAGCCGCGGACGTCCACTGGTAGCGCGGCAGGCTTTGCCGCCCTACGAAATCGCGCATGAGGACTCTTCGATCCGGGTGTATCTGCTTTGTACTATGCCGTGGTGTTCTAGACATCTTGAACACGCGCAGTCGAGGACATGCAGTATCTCTAAACATCGTCGCAAAGGCTATTCATGAAGTTCTTTTACGACATGCACAAGTGTTCTAAGCTGTGCTACCACCACACTGCACACCTCCTCTCGGATATAAGGGCGTGTCTGGAACGACGATTTCACACGAAAGCAAGCAGAACAAATGCTGTCAATCAAAGCCTAGAAGCCCATGAGGACTCATTGTTCAACAGACCAACTTTTCTTGTGCAACTCCGAGAACCTCACGGGCAGTCTCGGCAGAGATGGACACCGGTCCGCCGATGTTTTCTATTGCCAAGCAGCCGATCCCCAGTCTCCAAAGAGACCTGAACAGGTGACCAAGTCAACGCCCAGAGCTTCGTGTGATACAACACCTGTTCACAAGACACGCCTGTTCGCGACGAACACAGATAGGCCACGGAGATGGGAAAGCAATATTCCAGAATCCCCAACGGACCAGTGCTAGGGCGACCATCATCAGTGAATAGAACCCCCATGTTCTTTCACTGAATCAGAATCATCTTCAAGAACGCTGTTCCAACAACTAGATATGATCACTTGCCTCATATCTTAACCACAGTCACCATTATGCGCGCTCTCGTGAATGATTCACTGCCTCAACGCCATCCTCTCCAGCAACACTATAAAACAAAACATTTCCACCGCGAAATCAACAAACATTCTTCTTCTAGATCATCAACACATCGAACACACTCAGACATCAATCGATCAAGCAAACCAAACACTCAAACAACCAACCAACTTACCCCTTTCCCACACATCAACCAGCAATCTTCTACGAAGAACCACACATCAAACCACAACGATTACCCAAACAACCAACAACATCAATCAAACCGACGCAATGGCTCCCACTTGGCCTGTAACTCGCCCCAAGCCTCCCCACCCTCCTCCCGACCCGGCTCCCAAGCCCCTTCCTCCCAGCAAGTAAGCAATGGACGATATAAGGAAGCATGCTTTGGTCATGGAGTGGTGGCAGGATGACCAAAAACACACCTGAAGGATGGAGATGTTCTCTTCTCCATTCGCAGTCACACCTGAACGGTGAAGATACTCTTTAGTAGCTAGCTACCCAGTACCTTAGTCAATAAAACTCAGTCAAAACAAGAAATTTGCCCCTGATTTATCAGCATCTGGAAATATGTCTATAATGCCCTGTGAATTCGCAAATGCAACGATGACTGCCTTGATATAAGTCTTCATTCTTAAATACGACGAGGGAAGGCGGCGCATCGAAGTCGTTGAATCAACCTTACGAGGATACCTAAAATGGAAGGTAGTACCGGCCCCGGAGAAAGCGGGTCCGATACGCACCGAGCCGGATTGTCGGCACAGCTGCCGGATCGGAAGATTGCGAACTCAAAATTCGGGATCGGACGACGGCGGACCGAAGACACTGTCATCTTACCGAAAATCTCTGCATCTCTGCGAGATAATTACCGATGTGTTGATACGACAATCTATACGAGAGACAACCTAGTGCGGGAAGCACGCCTGGATCACAAGCAAGGATGATCCATAGCAGCGTCGCGGACGTGAACCGAGGATACCTTGGGCTGTAGACATAGAGTTGGTGCCACGAACTGACACTTTCTATAGTTATGTGACGGCGGCCTCGGCGTGCCGACGGTTCAAGCCTAAAGCTTAGCGGGTCTCTCGGGAACATGTTTGAAAGTTTTGTCTTAGACTCGCCAACGGGCGACTCTGCAACCTTAAGTGCCGATGGACAGGGCTTTGCCGGACGAGAAACCAAATCTTCCGGATGTTTCTTTGTGAAGGAATCGTTGAAACCGAGAGCGACGCTAGCCTGAAGGAAACAAATCCAGGTTGCTTTTTCCCCTCGGCGTCATGCCACCAAAACGGTGGTGCGGCTCAGCTTCCAGAGGGTGCCTCACCGTCGTGGTTCCCACCTCACCTGAAGCATTGGTGCGCGCAGTAGTGGTTTTTTGGGTAGCAGAGCCTGTCAATCATAGCAGGGCCAATAAGCGCTGGGATGATGGCGTTTGGGTTGCATCCCGGAAGTGTAGCCCTACGAGCTTCCAGACTGGCAGCGCTGGAGCCCGAATGACATATGCCCGCGCTAGGCCCAGGAGAGATTCGAGTCCAGCTTTGAAGGTAACACCTCGCGAATAAAATGCCGGGGCTGTTTTGCCAGTCGCCGGCAAAGCTCGTATTGTGGTCCGCGGATTAGGCAACTCCATAACAACGAGGACCAATGTTCAGCCCACAGAGAGGCAACAAAGCCAAGATTGCGCACAGCGTACGAGATCGTGGGGAAAAACTGGATCTGGTACACCCTCAGGATTCAACGATGGAGCTGGCGGCGTTCACTCAGCTTGGGAAGGCTTGCGGGACAGCTCAAAATGCGCCGTGTCTCTTTTGGCGGGCCAATCCACGGCTTTTTAGGTACCTTGGCTTGAGCCGGTGGGCGTACAAAGAGCACAGGAACTTATGGAAGTGTGTGGACGTGGAGTCGAACCGCATATAGCCGTATCAACAACGATACGAAGTGGGTTGGGCTTGAGAAGGCGGCACACCTATGCGAAAGGAGAAAATGTTCGGCGATATTTGTGGCAGTAAGATTTGCAAGGACGGGCAGAAGGGATAAATCTTGCAACCATCATAGAACACCGGACGAACGCCTCTTCGTAAACAGATATGGACAGTTGGAAGCGAGGGGGGTCAGAATGGTCTTCAAAACGCGCCGTCAACGAGACCAAACATGCCATACCCACATGTTGGATCTGAAAGGGCAATGATGTGACGTGAACGATGGCTCGGACTTCACCTCGGAAGTCCTAAGGGGTGCCGGCAATTGGTGGACCTGATGGAAGTAAAGATCGCAGAACGGGTAGGTCGGCTGGCAGGCTGAGGTGAGAGCGAGAAAAAAGTCGTTCGGCGCCAAAAGGCAAAAGGGCAGCTACGAACGGCAGCTTTGCCAGAAAGGAGATGGGCGATCGCCACGGCCGTGATGTGGGCGGGTTGAAAAACGGCGCGGAATTGTGGCTGTCAGCATATCAGTCTAGCCGTGGGCTATATGTACTATGTAGGCCGTCATGCTCCGTTGGAGCATATCTGTGGTCTGTGAGATTCGGCCGAGCTTCGCAGGTAAAAACTGGGGGTGAATTCGATCTATTGAAGTGTGCGTTATGCGCTGTCAGCGGAAGAGAGTGCGAGGAGTGCGAGGCCTAGATAGACGGTAGAATGTCTCATGTTGTTAACGGTCGTGACCCTGAGACATGCATATGCCTTGCCAACGTCGATGAGAGAAGCGAAAGAAGAGCGGTGGGTTGATTGAGGGGAATCGAGGCGACATGAGGACTACTGCAAGCAGCAGCAGACATTAGCCAGGGGATGGAGAGGCGATGGCATGATGTTGACGGGCCTCGTCGGATTTGGTGCGTCGTGTGATTGATGCTGTATAATCGCTGGTGTTGTAAAGTTGGAGGAGGTGTCGCCCGGCAGGCAGAAGCCACGCCCATGGCGCTGTCAAGGCACGCCACACGCCTTCGGGCGCCCCAGGAGGGAATCTGCAAGAAGCTTGCGGGAGAGGAAAATTCCGGGTAGGTCGAATGGCGGCAGCGAAAGAGAGCGCGATGAGAGCCTTGAAGTTTCCTGCTTTCTTGCTCGAGCCAGCGCCCGACTCTCTAGCGGTGAGACCCACCTGGCTGACAATGTGAGCAGAGCAAGGTAAGGTACCTTCCAGGAGAACAATAATAAGCGTGAGATGTTGAGTGTGAGTTGTCTGTGGCGCACGGCAGGCGCTAAGCAATTCCTGTATTCTCAACCCGGGGAAGGAGGAGGAGTTGGTGGAGAAGGAGCAGCGGAAAGTTGTGGAAGCCACACTTTACCTCTAAAAATTGTCCGTGGAAGGCGCACGCACAGTACGGATACCCCAATGTGGAAACTGCCGTCACCTGACAAGTGCGGGCAGTAACACAGTAAGATACAACAAGTGGGACTGTACATGCAGGCGCTGCAGGACCGCAGGGCAGGCAGGTAAGCTCCTCCCTGGCTCCTTCATGTAAGATTTCCCCGACCGCAGCATCGTATGCCTATCCCGATGCCGCTTCCCCCGTCTCTCTTACACCGTGCCACCCTCAACAACCCAATCCCGACCTCGTAGCACGGCTATCTGTCGACTTGGCTTACCTCTTTCCATCACATCTCTCTGTTCTCATTCGCCAACTGACGATACCACATCCTGCAGCTCATCATCCATCTTCCATGTCCTTGGAATTCTCCCAGACCGTCTCCAAGGTAATCCCGGCCGAGATAATGCTGACTCTGACTCCTTATCCTCCCAGAGTTCCATCAGACCATCGCCTGGCCCGGCTCTCGTTCATCTAGAGTGTCCACTTGAGACTTTGCTGCACGCCATCTCAAGTCCCCAACAACCTCGTGGGTCCCTTGAGCTTCTTCCCCTCCTCATCTTTCTGCGCCGGCTGACCCTAAAAATAGCCCCCAACTACCATGCGGCCGGGGCAATACTCTAAGCAAGCCGGTGACTCTTGCTATGGAGAAAGTATACTACGAGTTTACGGCACATTTCGATACGAGCCGCCCGATGATGTTGTTGAGCCCATGACCAAGATAGGCCCGACCAGCTCCGGTTATCCTGCACATGCTCTGTGTACTACCTTATTCCATGAATGATTCGCCCACCAACCGCGCAGCTTAGTCAACCGACGGTGCCGCGCTCTCTTGTTACCTCATTAGTCCCTAACCTTCGTCTTGGCGAATCAGATGCTCCGTCTCCGTACTGGCTCGGTCTGATCGACCCTGGAGACAGCTCGCCGGTGAACGCAACCCAAGAAACGCATTTTTTGCTTTTTGCACCGTTCTGCATTCGTATCCGCCAAAGTTCCACGTACCCCGACCGACCCGACTGTCTCTGGCGGATGCCCGGCCAGACGAGCCTCACCGCCGACTCCAAGACTGGTCTACAGCAGCATCCTAGCAAGAAGCCAGGTCCTTGTCGTGTGCGTCGATCTGCCTTCTCGCTTAGATACGCTGGCAACTGAGCCATGCCCTAGAATCTCGACAACTCAATGGGTCCCTGGAGCGCCGGAATACCTCCCGTGCCAAGCAGTGGAGTGCCCGAACCGTACGAGCCTTCCAGCTGAGCTCAGACGGTCCACCGTGACTGTTGTCGTTCCATCTGGATATACTACGATCTGGTCCAACTTTCAGGCCTCTCGCGGTTGTGCTCCAGTCAGGTCGCACGTTTCCTGGGTGCGGTCAGACCTCTGCCTGCTAGCCCGGATACATACCATCCATATCACATCAGAACCTTCAATGTGTCATTGCAAGCTGGCAGTTGATAGTGGAAATTGTGCTGACATGTTGCATGTCAAAATACCAAATCAAGCGCCCTACGATGCACTGCAAACCTATCGGCACACGTCTAGGCCATCCGCGAGTACCGAACCATGGCATATAGCTGTCCTCCAAGTGGCCCGTCAGCCTCATCCTTCACCTATTCTCAGCCTGTGTCACACGAGCCCGTCGTAGCCGTCGGTGCAGCTCATAGGTAGACATAGGGCAAGAAATTAGCACCTCCAAGGCAGATCTTGGGTCCAATTTGGGGATCTGACATGATCCGCACCACCCAACCAGCTTTGTCGCATTCCGTCTGCCTGGCTACTGCCACCCATGACAAGCCGGAGCTCAGCCTCATCCCAGACTTGTCCCTGCTTGGCTTTTTCCATCCTTTCTTAGTACGCATCTTCTCTGCCCCGTATCGGTATCGCTAGCTCGACCCGAACGACCTGAAGCATGTTCCATCTACCTCCACATGGCACAACAAACATACCTTCTTTCTCCACAACGCACGATCGTATCCACCATGAAGGGGACTTGGCTTATTGTTCCCTCCATGTCAGAATGAGGCATGGTAACTGCCCAAGGGGCAGGGGTAGGATGCACCTCACTTCTACTCACACCTCACCTTCTTACTCGCATCAAGATATGCCTGGAAAGCTGCCGGTCTGTGTAGACGCCACCCCGAGGCCTTGGACATGCAAGTGCACCGAGACTATTGATGTCGACCTCCCGAAAGAGGCTAAGGCCTTGAAGGGCTGCTCCAGGCAAGACTTCACATTGATACACAAGTTGTATATAATTCCAACTCTCCCTTCGGATATCTCGACGAAAGCACACAACACCAAGTCAGTCGCTCATCTCCTACCAGTCTTGTGCTTTCACGTTCATCATGCTTTCCACCTTCATCAGCTCCAGCCTTGGGGCTTTCCTCCTTGCTTCCCTCGCCAATGCCAACCCCATTCGTTCGGTTGAGCAAAGGCAGACAGGCTGCGGTACCAACGGTATCGGTAACCGAGAATGCTGGAACGGAGACTTCAACATTGATTCCGATTTCGAGATCTTGACACCGCCCCAGGGAAAGTTGAGAACCGTGAGTATCTTCTCTGCTTGATATTGAACCTGTTCTGACGACTTGAGTAGTTTGACTTCACCCTAAGCAACTTGACCGATGTCGCGCCAGATGGCGTTCACAAGCCGGCCATGTTGATCAACAACCAGTTCCCGGGTCCCACGATCGAGGCGGACTGGGGTGACACCATTCAGATCAACGTCCACAACCAACTCCAGACCAACGGTACCTCCTTCCACTGGCATGGCATGCATCTGCGCGGCCACAATGACCAAGATGGCGCCAACGGTGTTACGGAATGCCCTATCCCCCCTGGACAAAGCAAGACATACTCCTTCCAGTTGACTCAGTACGGTACATCATGGTATGTTAGCTTCTTTGTTGTTGCAGACTTGGACCCACCGACTAATGCGTCTGCTTCAGGTATCACAGCCACTTTTCCGCCCAGTACGGCAACGGCGTTGCAGGCGCCATCCAGATCAACGGTCCGGCGTCCGCTGACTACGATATTGACCTCGGTCCATTTGTTATCAGCGACTGGTACTACGGGACTGCAGATAACCTCTTGCGCCAAGCCGAGCTTGTGCCAGCCCGTCCCCCGCCTAGTGACAACATTCTCTTCAACGGCAAAAACATCAACCCACTTGGCGCTGGCGGTCAATACCAGAAGACGAGGCTGACCCCGGGCAAGAAGCACCGTCTCAGGCTCATTAACACCTCTGTTGACAACACTTTCACCGTCTCCCTGGTAGGCCACAGCTTCACCGTCATTGCTACCGATCTCGTTCCCGTGAAGCCAGTCAGCAAGGACAGCCTCTTCATGACTGTCGGCCAGCGCTATGATGTAATCATTGAAGCAAACAAGGAAATTGAGAACTACTGGTTCAACGCGACTGTTGGTGGCGGCGGTCTTTGCGGCGAGACGAAGAACCCTCACCCCGCTTCAATCTTCTTCTACGATGGATCTCCGGATAGACTGCCCGTTGACCAAGGTACACCTCCCGCCAACCTGGGATGCGCTGATACCACCGGGTTTACTCCTGTGCTCTCCCGAACAGCCCCCTCAGACAAGTTTGATGCGAGCAAGACACTGGACATTGCTTTGGACACGCCGACTATCAACGGCGCAGCGGTCTATCGCTGGAAGGTCAATGGGAACGACATTGACGTTCAGTGGGACAAGCCTACTTTGGAGTACGTTGCTGAGGGCAACAACTCCTGGCCGGAACGTGCCAACATCATTGAGATCCCCGAGGCCAACGATTGGACTTGGTGGGTGATTGAGAACACTGGCGCTCTGCCGCATCCCATCCATCTCCACGGTCACGACTTCTTGCTCCTCGGCACTGGCAGCGGCACATTCAGCGGCTCAGAGGGCCTCAACTTTGAGAACCCCACCCGCAGAGACGTTGCACAACTCCCCGGCTCTGGGTGGATGGTGATCGCATTCAAGACAGACAACCCGGGCGCCTGGCTGATGCATTGCCACATTGCCTGGCATGTGAGCATGGGTCTCAGCGTTCAGTTCCTCGAGCGAAAGAGCGAAATCGCTTCAACGCTCGACCTGGCATCGATCAAACCGACCTGCGATGCTTGGAGGAAGTATGAGCCAACCGCCGTGTGGCCCAAGCATGATTCTGGATTGTAAGAAGAAGGTTGCCTTGGGCTGGCTGAGAACACAAACAGCATATGTGGCGTCCAATTACTGAGAGGACCAACTGCGGTGTGGTGGGCAGTCGACACGAGAGCACCAAGCCAGCCTGGCGCCTCAGCCTTCAACGTCATTCTGCTTTTATTGGCCTTTTTTCGGCTATGACTCGATTTCCGGGCGGTCACCCAACCCTCCATGATTGCCAGGGTTTGGTGCGCCGCGGAATCCGGGCCTCTCCGGTCCTGTCATGGGTCACCGGCGCGCATGACAGGTACACCACCTCTTCGCAGCGGACTTCCGGGCCTCACAAGCATTCAGCGCGCACGCGCACTAATTAATGATCGACTTACGCAGCAAGGATATGGGAGGAGAACATTTACTTTTAGCAGGCGCAGGCATTTCATTGGTGTTTTTCCTTATGCATGGATTGGAGTTGTCCGGTTGCTGATACCTATTTTGTCCGCTCCGCTTCATCGATTGGTCTATTTTCATTTACATGGGTTAAAAACATGCATAGAATTGGGTGAGCAGGGTTACAACATGATTTGCTCGGACTTTTCTACAGAAACATGCCTAATTCATTTATTCTTTTTTCCGTCAAATTTCTCAAGTAAAGTAATGATGTTTTCCGCTCACACACATTTTCAGCCCTATGACCTAAGGTGCATGCAATGCAGTAAGCAATATTTTCCTGCGCGGTGAGTTGGGAGCAGAGCAGAGAAGAGCAGGATCTCGGGGCGGTCTATCAGCGGAAAGTGGGAGGAGCTGTGCAGGAGTCGGCCGGAGGTAGCGGAATCCCGTTGCACACCAGCAAGCACGCGACTATTGGGACGGGACTCGAGGTGGCTAAGGTGATTAGAGTACTGCTTAGACGCAACCCTCAAAGTCGCCAAATGCCGAGGACTGCGGTAGGGGCGGATGCTACGTCTGGTAGTGGTGTGACCTCAGCTCGCATCGCCCCCAATCTGGCGATTCCCCTAGGCTCGGGATTTCTGGACTTATGTCAGCCTCGGTCGTCGGTCTTGGTGTGTCCGGGTGTGTGGTGCCGGTGGTGTGATTTGAGTGTGCGGATGAGTGCCGCCTTGGCGCAGCTGGATGGGATTTTGACAGCGGAAGGCGACAGACTGTGTCTGGGTCTCGCCATGGAATGCAATGGATGGGTTACATGTGCGATGAAGAGATCTTGCCTGCTGCGGATTCCCGAGACGGGCGATGGCATGAAGACGGAGACGGAGGGGAACGGGGATGGATGCGGGCGGGGGGTCATTGCCAAGATGCAGCCAATGTTGATCTCGGAGCTTGGCGGGGTTTGGGGGGGACTAGGTTAGAGCTGTCTATCTGTACCGCCGATGGTGTGGGGGTGGTGTCGGGGATCGCTGTGGAGATCTTGCGGGCCCGGGCTCGGTGGAGTCCCGGGTCTGGAAGCTCAACGTCGTTCCTTCTTCCCTGAGACCTCTCCTTCCTCCGATCATCTTTGGTAATTGTACACGTGACCCGACGTACCTTCCCACCTTCCTTCACCTTACCTTTCATGGCTGAGGCACCCTACCTTACACAAGGAGCCTATTCACCTCATTCTGTCACCAGCACACCCATCCGGCCACTTGGCCGGGTGGGTTAGACTCTGACGCAGAGTCGATAGTAAATGAAATACTCCAATGAAGCCGTGCTGGCCTGAGGGGCGCGCTGTTCGAATCCGAATAGGGGCGTGAATTATCGAGTAAGTCGACACCAGCCCCATCCCTTGTTCCTTTCTTTTTGCATTTTTCTCGCAATTCTAGGTTAGGGATCTGCATCACCAGTTACAGAGGGCTCACATTTTTGATGGAAATCGACTTTGGAACTTGAGGCTGCATGGTAGATATATGTGGGAAGTATGTGAGTTGGACCTATGCTTTGCTAAGATAGTTCGTGATAAGCGGTTAACTGACTCCGTCCGTAGTGAGGTAGGTCATGCTTGGAATGAATGGTCGGACAGCACTTGATAATCCAAGCCACCTACCAGGGAAATAACTGCAAGATACTATCTATCTCATACCGAAACTCTGCCCCCCCAGCCTCCTTCGTGGCAGAAACCGCCG